TATGCGGAATCTACACGGTTCCGGATATTGAAACACTTTCAATGCATCAGCCAGTAATGCAGCTCCTTTGTTACCTATTCGATTCCCATCAAGAAGAAGTGTAGTAAGATTTCGATTGACTTTCAGTGCATTAGCTAGTGCTTCAGCTGCTTTGTCAGCTATTCGATTTCCACCAAGACCAAGAGTACTAAGATTTTCATTGACTTTCAATGCATGAGCCAACCCTTCAGCTCCTCGGTACGAAATATGGTTACAACCAAGATAAAGCTCAGTGAGCGTTTCATTGACTTGCAATGCATCAGCGAGTGCTTCTGCTCCTTCGTCAGCTATTACATTGGTATGAACAAGAAGAATACGAAGATTTCGATTGAGTTTCAATGCATCAGCGAGCGATTCAGCTCCTTGGTGCGACATTTGGGTACAAGAAAGGTTAAGCTCAGTCAGAGTTTGATTGACTTTCAGTGCATCCGCGAGTGCTTTAGCACCCTTGTCAGCTAGCGGATTGCCATCAAGAAGTAGGGTTGTAAGAGTTTGATTGAATTTCAATGCCTCCGCGAGTGCTTTAGCTCCTTTGTCAGCTATTCGATTTCCGCCAAGAACAAGAGTAGTAAGATTTTGATTGACTTTCAATGCATGAGCGAGTGCTTCAGCTCCTTTGTCAGCTATTCGATTTCCACCAAGAACAAAAGTAGTAAGATTTTGATTGACTTTCAATGCATGAGAGAGTGCTTCAGCTCCTTTGTCAGCTATTCGATTGTCATTAAGAAGGAGAGTAGTAAGATTTTGATTGACTTTCAGTGTATCAGCGAGTGCTTCAGCTCCTTTGTACGTGATATGATTAGAACAGAGATTAATGACAGTGAGAGTTTGATTGACCTTGAGTGCATGAACCAGTGCTTCGTCTACTGTAGTAGACCTTGTATAGTCTCTAACTTCAAGAGTAGGAAGTGTCCGATAGACTTTCAACGAGTTAGCGAGTGCCTCAGCTCCCGTGTCAGAGATTCCATTATTGGGAAGATTAACGGCAATAAGGGTGTGATTTACTTTCAGTGCATTAGCGAATGCTTTAGCACCTTTGTCAGATATTTGGTTATTATGAAGATGAAGAGTAGCAAGATTCTGATTGACGTTCAATGCATCAGCTATTGCTACAGCTCCTTCGGCGGAAAGATGGTTAAACCTTAGATCAAGCGTAGTAAGAGTTTGATTGACTTTCAATGCATTCGCCAGTGCTTGTACTGCTTTGAGAGATAGTTCGAGTCGGTCTAAGCGAAGAGTAGTAAGAGTGTGATTGACTTTCAATGCATCAGTGAGTGATTCAGTTCCTTGTTCAGATATATGATAGCCATCCAGAAGAAGAGTAGTCAGATTTTGATTGACTTTCAATGCATTACCGAGTGATTTTGCTCCTTGGTCAGATATTAGATTGTGATCGAGAAAAAGAGTAGTTAGATTTTGATTGACTTTCAATGCATCTGTGAGTGCTTCAGCTTTTTCATCCCTATTTGGTTTCTCTAGAATATCAAGTGTAGTGAGAGTTTGATTGAATTTCAATGCATGTGCGAGTGCTTCAGCCTGTTTCTCAGATATTTGGTGGTTGTCAAGGTCAAGAGTAGTGAGAGTTCGATTGACTTTTAATGCAAGAACGAATGCTTCAGCTCCTTTGTGACATATTTGGTTCCCATGTAGGTTAAGTCTAGTAAGAGTTTGATTGACGGTCAATGAATTAGCGAGTGCTTCAGCTCCTTTGTCTGATATTTGGTTCCAGGAAAGATGCAAAGTGGTGAGATGTTGATTGGATTTCAATGCATCAGCGATTGCTTGAGCTCCTCTGTTTAATATTCGGTTTTTAGCAAGATCAAGAGTAGTAAGAGTTTGATTGGCTTTCAATGCATCGGCAAGTGCTTTTGCTCCTGTGTCTGATATTTCACATCCTGTAACATCGAGATTTGTTAGATTTCTATTGACTTTCAATGCATCAGCGAGTGCGTAAGCTCCTTTGTCAGATAGATGGTTGTTGAGAATTTGAAGGGTAGTAAGGGTTTGATTGACCTTGAGTGCATCCGCTAATGCTTGAGCCCCTTCGTGTAGTATATTGTTCTCTCGCAGCCCAAGGAACATAAGAGTTCGGTTGACTTTCAATGCATCAGCGAGCGCTTCAGCTCCTTTGTCCGATATTTGGTTCCAAGAAAGATCGAGAGTAGTAAGCGTTTGAGTCGTTTTCAACGCATCAGCGACTGCTTTAGCTCCTTTGTGAGATATTTGATTTCCAGAGAGGTCTAGATTAGTAAGAGTCTGATTGAATTCGAGGTGGTTGGCTAATATTCTTATGTCGATATCATCAATGCACGATCCGTACATGTTGAGTGTGGTCATAGTGTTAATTGTAGGAAGTCTTTGTTGGAGCTTATCGTTTTGTAAAAGAAGCTTCATATAAATATTGTGTTTCGCATGTTGTATGTCGTATTCCACGTGGTCGATTTGAAACTTTGTTCCGGCGGCAAGTAGGACTTCTTCTTCATCAGGGTATTCGGAGTATTGGGAGATATCTAAGCCACTGTCGAATGGTATATCAATTATGAATAACGTGTTTCCATAGGTTTCAGCAACAGTTTGGTTTTTACTAGTGGAAGTAAATGCGAACCAGCATTTCTGTTGGCCAATTGCGTTTTCGTAGTGATGAATCATACCTGGTTGTAGATCTGCTCCGCGGTAAACTTTTCCCATTGTTTTGTCATCCATCATGTACCACGAATGATACAATAGGTAGCAATATGGACCAAGTGTATTCAGTTTACTCTTATCATTATCTCTAAGTGTTTTATTTACCAATTTGTAGAGGAATGATTCCATTGTATATAATTCAATTGAACATTTATGAATCTCGACTTTATCATAACCTTTGCGATGGAGTAATTGGTCGGCCATACGTTTTGCTTCATCTGATTTTTCTATTAGTTGGGCTTCTGTAATTATTCCATTTGCTGCTTGTTCAACTATTTCGCTATATGAAATGTCTGGTGATTGTTGATCCTTCCACTGTTTAATAAACCAATATCCGCCATTTGTCCACTCATTGAAATGTTTAATAGATTCTGGTAGTCCAGAGAACCTTTCTCCTCTCAAACGCTGATTTTGAGGGCTATTAATCGGTACCCGTTTGATTGGCGTTAGTTTATTGTAACCATGCTTGCTGATTGCAATAGAATTGTTTAAATCAATCCAATAATCATCTAATTCGACCAATGTTGTTTTATGTTTGTCATTAAATGCTTTTTCAATAATTTCGGATTCAATGTCAGAGTAGCTCATCCATTCTTCTTTTTCATGAGTGGACGCTGCATTTGGATTTGATTTCCAGTACCATTTTGCTTGTTTGTGGTGACATAATTTCATTGCTCCAGCTTCCTTAGATTCTGCTGTCATCACTAATCCGTAATAGGGATATTTCTGGGACTAAAATAAGAGCCTAGATTTAGATAGAATCTCGGCTAATTCAAGGACCGCTTATTTATGGATTGTAGGATCATTTCTAACTGTTTACACTGCTTTTTTTATCGTCTAATTCTGTCTAGAATTTAGGTTGCTTAATCAAATTTAGATACTTTTTTATAGATTTATTTTGCAAAATGAGAGATGTTTGATTTCTTCCTGGGAAACGGTCAGATTCTCTTATGTTTCAGTAGAAAGAACAGATAGGTAATTTTTTTCAATAAAAAGAGCGGAATTGGTTCTGTGAAAGGACATGTTTAGTAGAGTTCTATTTTACATATTAGAAGAAAAACCTATTCTGTTTACCTGAAATCCTGCAAAAGCAGTGTTCATGCTTTTGACAGAAAAACATTGCACATGGCAACAGTCATCTATGTTTGTGACCTAATGTTATTCCCAGATTTCATGTCTGCTTGAAGAATATTCAGAGAAAAAATTTCATCTTGAATGAATCTGTCTGTAATCAGATCCAGTTAAGCTAAGTTATGTTGACATACAATGCGAAACTTTGCGCAACAACAATTTTTATAATTCCAGTTATCTAGTTGATCACGAAAAGGAAGTGTTGTGGAAGTACTGGTACATTTGCAAAAGATCTCAGTCAAGTTTGATTGTTTTTTTTAATTACTTTAGAAAAATAACTCCCAATGAATGCGATTCTCCAGAGAGAGGCATAGGAAATTTCGAAAAAGTGAAGACTAGTGTTCCAGGCTTACTGAAAATGATAACAATCACGCTTGGTGATAGTTTGCATGTGTGGGTGTGGGTGGGTGTGGG